TCATTAAACTGCAGTGCAACTCAAAGTGAAGTTCAGGGAGGTGAGCGGAAAAGCCGACTAGCTTGGGCATTTTTTGAGAGAACTGACCCCTAGCTTCCTTCGGCTTTCCTGAATGTTCAAGCGGCCCATGTGCCTTTTTAGAAGCACGTACTTCAGCGAAAAGCTCTTCTCCACCTTGAACTTCAATAAGTCCAAGTACAGGACCAGACTTACTGATGAACGTCTTTAAGACATACTGAGGGTCTCAACTGCTTCCTCCCTCAGGCCAAACCTCTCATGACATGCCTATATGACATTAAAGCTTGGTTGGCCCTGTCGGTCTCTCAGGTCAGCTGACCAGCTGCTCCTGGAGGTACCGAGATCCAGGAGGAAACTCAGAGGGGATGGGGCCTTCTCTATCGTGGCTCGAAAATTATGGAATAATTCGCCCCGGCACGTTAGAGAGGGCCCTTCACTGTCCACTTTTAAATCGTGTCTCAAAACCCACTTTTATTCTTTGGCTTTTAATCTCAGTGAGACTTAGTTTTCAGTTGAAATGAAATTAGTTATTTAATTAATTATTTTTTCTTTCTTTTATTTGCCTTTTATTTATATGTTCTGTAATTTTATTTTATGGTTCCAATGTACAGCGCTTTGTGTCAGCTGTGGTTGGTTTAAAGTGTTTTATAAATAAAGGTGATTGATGGATTGATTGAAAATGTGGCTGGGATATGCGAAAGGAAGCCCTGCCAGGTCTCTAGCTGCAAGGAGTAGGCGAGACACATTCAGATGAACAGTTCATGTTCTTCACTGTTCCATCCATGTTCAAAGAAGGTTAAAGGTTAAAGAACTGTTAATACTGACATTTGAATCTGAATACAGCATTAATAGAAGACTGAAGAAACCACAACTTATTAACTCTTAATTTGTTCATTTATTTTGGTGTTATAGATAATAGATTTGAGACTATGGGAATTTTTTAACAATACTTTTCTTGTGGAAAACCTTGTGCAACACAGCCTCAAGCTGACTGTGCCTTCAGCGGCCCCCAGCTAAATTGAGTTTGAGACCCCTGATATAGATGAAACCCAACCACCTCTTATAAATAACGCTTCTTCTACAGAAATGTCCAAGACCATGACTTAACTGTCTCACTGACAAACTTCTACCAGAAGAAAATCTTGCAGACATTAACACAGCTCTACTCACCATCCCCAGTACCAGTGTGACAGAAACCATTGAGCGTGCCACTGTTGCACCTTAATACTATTAACATTTGGGTATAAGATCAAAAAAGCATGTAAAGATAACCTTCCATTCAAAAAGAAGGTTGGAAGCCAAAATCAGGGAAGCCCAGGACGATGTTTACTGGCTGCAGAAGGGTTTCATGAGAGACGGATCCTCTGTGGTTAAGAAGTAGAACAACGTGTCCATAACTAAATCTCTAGAATCTGACAAACACAGGCACACAGCTCTGGCTGCTGGGCTGAGGAAACACAAGAATCATTTTAAAATACTCATTCAATTTGGATAGCATTTAAGATTAGCCATAATAGTCAAGTGCTCTACAGCTACAAGCTTTGACTTGCATCAGTGTGAATGCAGAAAAGAAGAAGTGGTCACCACACCAACATTTTTCCCCTCATATGTTTGTTTTCAAACTCTGTCAGTCTCTGTCTGTGCAGCAGCTTATGTGGTTTTTGTGCAGGATGTAAAGGTAGTTCCACACCCACATAAATACACCATTAGCACCTTTAAACATGCCACCAAAAGTGGTGGATTTTCAGGTATCGTAATACTACTTGGGTGAAATATTTAGAGTAATATTTACATCAGTGAAGAGAACAGACTAGTTGAACAGGGCTATTTGTGTTCTAGTGAGCAAAAATAAAAACAAAACAAACAAAAATAAATCTAACATAACATCCAAGTTCCTTGGCAGATAATTTAAAACTATTCACCTGATGAAATCACATCACTTGAATTGCATTACCATTATGACTACTGCCATTATACCTATGCACATTTGGAGGTTTTGTGTGTGGGTTGTGTTTGTACCACTATCTTACTACCCTAACACAGCTTTTTGTTCCCTGCTGCTCAAAGCAAAGAAAAAACAACACATTTCAAAACAAGCATTTCTATAAAAATAATTGATAATAATTAATTTCACATAAAATTTAAAAGTGAAATAAAAGATTAATTTGAAAAGTATTTGGGATGCAATGATTTCAATTTGTGATTTAAAATTTTCTAATATGTTGGTCTTTCTGCTTTAATAAGCCATTTGGACAATTACAATGCACACTCTAAACATTCATGTTTCAGTGACAAATACTGAGCAGAATCCACTCTAAGGTGGCACCAGTCTCTAAGCTGTAAACTAATGACATTAATGTAATTTTCCTTAGTGAACATATACTGCACTAGTCAAGAGCCTCAATGCTTTTCATATATACTCATGATATTATGAACTTTACACCATAGGTGGTTGTGAACATGTGATTATGTTTCCACAGTAGGACGTACAGTGTCACTGTAGACTGGCCAATCAAGATCAGTCTTGGGTCTTCAGAGTGGAGAAAGCATCAAGATTCTTTTCATTTGACACAACGATTTGAACACGATGACACCTGCAAAGTTTGTCTTTTATCTGACATGTTTGTTCCTGGGGAAAATGGGTAAGTTCTTGTTTCTTTCTTTTTAACATCTCTTCAAGTTTTCACCTCTTAAGGAAATGAATATGTTGAACTGACTTTTCATTTGCTTTTATTTTGATTTTTATTGTAGTCCAGAAGACCCATCTGCAACCACAGGCATCTGTTTATCAAGACAAAGATTTTATCTTAGCTGATGTTGGAGAAAATGTGAGTTTGCAATGTTTCTATAAATGTGATTATTCAGCATGGATCTTGTGGTATAAGCAAACTCTGGGACAGAAACCGAGGCTAATCTCTACATTCTATGTGTACGATACAAAAATCACTTTTCATGATGAATTCCTGAACAACCCACGGTTCACACTGGATACAGAAAACGGAAGAAATAACTTGGACATTTCAGATTTGAATATCAATGACTCAGCTACTTACTACTGTGCATACAGCTATAGATTTGTGTTAACTTTTGCAGAGGGGACCATTGTCAAAGTAAGGGAGGCACGTTTGAAAAACCCAGCTTTAGTTCATCAGTCAGCATCTGAGACCATCCAGCCAGGAGGCTCCGTAACTTTGAACTGCACGGTACACACTGGGACCTGTGATGAAGAACATAGTGTTTACTGGTTCAAAGAAACAGAAGCATCTCGTCCAGGACTGATTTACACTTATGGAGGCAAAAATGATTATTGTAGGACGAAAACTAACCCACAAGCAGACGCCTGTGTCTACAACCTGCCATTCAAGGATCTGAACATGTCTCATGCTGGGACCTACTACTGTGCTGTTGATTCATGTGGACACATAGTGTTCGGAAACGGGACCAGATTGGATCTCAGCCGTGAGTACTGAAGAGTCATTTACAGTCAATTCTGATCACTTTTTGTGAGAAGATACATATAAGCTAAAAATCTCTTTCCGATGACTGGCTAACTGCAGATGAGGCAGACTTTCTTGTCTTGGTGTACTACTTGAGTGGAGCTTTGGCATTCAGTACCATCCTGGTTCTCCTACTGGTTTTCTCAGTATGCAAGACAATCAAGAGAAACAACTGCCTTTGCCCAGGTATGTGGTACTGCTTGTGCCTGATAGCTTAAATTTGTTACGTTTATCTTTTAGCCTTTGGATCTGAGTATTTTTTTGTCTTTGACTATTAGAGCCTCGTGCACAATTACCAACTCCTTCAACAACAAATTCAGAGGTAAATCAAATCCCAGTTACTTATTAATAAAACAATGCTAAATTTCTGTGAAGGAAATATCTCAAATGACTTTTGCATATTCACTTGACAGGCTTGTCAAGATGCAGACAGCCTCCATTATGCAGCTTTAAGTGCTAAGAAACTTAACAAGTCAAGAAGACAGAAAGACAACAGCAAGAGTGAATGTGTGTACTCCAGCATAAAGCAGTAAATATGGACATTTCAACATTTCAATGTCGAGCAGACAAAACAATTCTACATTCTGTTCAATACAATTTATGACCAGTACTAACATTCTAGCCCAATTGCAACTGGAAAATCGGGCAAATGCATGTCCTGCTTGTCTCCCATCCATATTCCAACAGGATTCTTTGGCTGTTACTTGAGGAATGATTACTTTTAAATACATATACATTTCTGAACAGTATGTATTCGTTTTACTAAATATTTGATCTCAAGGTTGTAAAAAAAACTGCATGAATGAAGTTTTCGTGCCAGACTACAAACAAATTGCAAGGTTTCAGTTTTATTCTCTTTTTTTGAACCATTTTGTTGGAGTTTATGCATTCGCATTTAGTAAAAAACCAGCACTGTGACTAAATAAAGCTGCTAGGCTATGGCTGCAGATCTTTTTCATTTTATCTCTGTCAGTGCAACATCAATGATCTTGTGTTTTGAGCCAGTGTGACTACTTCAGGTACTATACAGATTAGTACCAGAGCCAATCTAGGAATTTCCTGCAATCAATTTGACGCTATAGCAGAGCGTTGTCAAGAGATAGGTCACAGCAAATAGAAGATGAACCAGTAAAATGATTATATACACCTTTTTCTAAAAAACTATACTGGTGGCTACTAGTGCAATCCCTCAGCCCCCTACTAGATGTGTTGTATAAATTTGAAAATATCAAGTGACATTCTTCTTGAGTCACATTCCCGACACTTAGAAAAACCTGATCTTTGACCTTGACCTGTAGGTCTAAAATATAAATGTATGCTATCACTTTATGGTGTTCACAAGAATTTAAGAACACATTCCCCCTGACCTCACAAATATTCAAAGTCATCCAAGAATTTAAGTAGAAATGAGTTATTGTGTTCATAAGATTTTCAGTAAATCTGACCTCTGATCTTGATCAAGCTCGACAGGATTCCAGAGTCGTCTCTATCTTCTAAGCCGACTGAGGTCTCTACAGTGAAAATAACAAATAACAAAGTTCTCATTTTAAAGTAAAATGTCAATCATATACGTGTCGTTTCTCTCTATGTTCTGGATATTTATAATTTAGCTATTTCTATTTATTATAGCTAGTTCTTATATTTTGTAAACTTGTAATATATTGTATTATTTAAGTTAGCATGCTCACATGTTCAGCATGTTACTGTTCTTATTGTCTTGGAGCAACTGTAAATACATACTTTCCATAGGGATTAATAAAGTATTCTGATTCTGAATGGCCTGTCCCACCTTGCAGCTGCAAGAGAAGTACTTGCAGCTACTGACAGGTACCAAAAAGAGAGAGAGAGAGTATTACTCTGATATTTGCATTTTTACATTGGCTGACAGTTAAATGCAGAGTTGATTTTAAGGTTCTATTAGTTGATTTTTAATCTCTCCAATAGCTTGGCTCCTGGTATGCATGTCTATATCTATACATACATGAGTTGCTTTTAACCCTTTAAGACCTATCATAGAACCAAGTTCGCAAAAACCATCAAGGGCTACGATGAAACTGGCTGACTCTCTATGTGAGCCAGTTTCATCGTAGCCCTTGATGGTTTTTGCGACTGCACTTGGGGACACATTCAAAGTTTTAGGAATTTTCCAGACTGACCAAACTTAGGTTCTTAAAGTAATGGTGGACTGTCGTTTCTCTTTACTTGTCTGATTGGTTCTTGCCATAATATGAATTCTAACAGTTGTCAAATAGGGCTGTCAGCTGTGTACCAACCTGACTTCTGTACAACACAACTGATGGTCCCAACAACATTGAGAAGGCAACAAATTTCACAAATGAACCCTGACAAGGCACAAATATGAAATGAAACCATTTGAGAGAAGGCCAAGGGTTTTCAGTGCTGTCAATAAAGCAAAGGGTGGCTACTTTAGTTCTTGTACCTTAATATTATGGGTTTTTAAGTAATTGTAATAATTCCTGGAGTTTTTTTTTTTTATCTGATTCCCTGCCTCTCCCATTAAATCTCAGCCTCTATGTTAGATATTCCCTTGTTGGTTACTTCCTGTTTTATTTTGATAGTCGTACATACCTTGTACTGAATAACTTCCCATGTCTCATTATCCCTGCTGTGCATTCATCCTATTTCCCCTAGCCTCATTACTTTGTGTTTATTGTTTTTTCCTTGTATTTTTTCTGTTTTCCCTTGGATTATTCTGAACGTTTATCCTGAACAGACAGTGATAAAAGCTTATTTTGTATTTCACTCCATCTTTAGTTCTGCACTTAATCTATTGAAACGCAATGCCCCCAGTAATGGGGGAGAGAGGGAGAACATCTGGAATGTACCACCAGATCTGTTATTTAAATATAGCTGTTTGATATCCACAGAAACGTCAGAATCTCAACTAAAAGCTAAAAGAAAATCACAAAACACAGCTACTGTAAAACAGTAAATGGTTAAAGAGCAGGTAAAAGGATGTAAACACAAAGCACAAATCACACGATCATGCCACGATACACGATCATGCGTCAGGGTGCTGAAAGCAGAAATCTCACAGATTCATAAACTGCTGGTTTCATCACTTTCTGAACTAAATTCACTGAACCAGCTGCAAGAGAAGACCAATGCTAGGCTTCACATTTAAGGAACATTGTAATGAATTCCCTCTTAGTTCGGTGTGTTTTGCTGTGAAGACCAGGTTGGATTTGAGATACTCAAAAGGGATTAAAAAGAGTTGTGTGACTACCCCAGGTTTTCCCCAATACAAGACAAATTGCACATATTATTTTCTTTTTCAGACATATCTGTTACTATTTGTCAAAGTTCAAACAACCTCTGTAATGTAGCTTTGAGTTCAAGTCATCCAACTAATCGGATTTTAGCGCAAAGATTCAAACCAGAGCTTTATGTTTTTTTGTTGTTGTTAAGAATCTCATTGAAGATGCTTTGTGAAGTTAGAAATATTCTTTTGATATTGGTTTTCGGTCTAAAGATAAGATCTCTTTAAGCTTAGACAGGCTTTAGTATTGTGTAACTATTTGGCTGTATTATCTATTGTGTGATCTTTGTGGTTACAAGCGGGAAATGACCTGATTCTGACTTAGAAAAAAAAAAATTTAGAAACTGACTGAAATCATACGTTCTTTCCTTTGTCAGTGCACAGCCATTTACTGTTTTTGACAGGATGTTAAGTATTATGCAGACACAAAAATGACCAAGGAAACACTCAAAAACGCCAATATAAACATCAGTATATAAAGTGAATATAAGTTCATATTTAGATTATTATGTCAGCAGTATAACATCAAATTCTGGAGTTTTTAAACAAACTACTTGTTTTATTCTGCAAACTACACTATATGAGTAATTCGGTTTTGTATATAAATTTCCTAAGGCTATGCTTCCCCAAGGCCAATGGCCTGTTTGATAGTGATACAGATATTGTCCCAAAAAATCCACCAATTTTCATTAAATTCAATTTGGCAACTTTTGCAAAATCCACCACCTTCACTTTACTTTTTTATTATTCTATTCTAGGCTGTAAAACGTAAATGAGAGTTACTATGCTCTTTCACCCGTTTTAAAAATGTTGTGCTTAATAGGCATCTCACAATGTCAGTATTTATTATTAGAAAAAACAAAACGTGATACTATTGTTTCCAGTGAGCACGTTGCATTTCCTAAGTAGGACATACAGCGCAGCGTCACAGTTAGTCGGCCAATCAAACACAGTCCTGCCTATAAAGAGTAGAAAAGAGGGTTTTTTCCTTCCTGTTTTTCACACAGCAATTTTCTGCACAATGGCTTTTTCACTGCTGGCTTTTTATTTTGCAATACTGTTATCGAGGACTCTGGGTGAGTTGTGTGCCTGTAGGTTCATTTCTCCTCTCTAAGAATATTGAATTCTTTCACTTTTGCCTTACATTTGCTTTATTTTATATTTCAATTCTGCTCATTTGACTGATCTAGAGCTGTCCTCATCTGGTCATCAGAAGAGCGCTTTTGTGTCACGTAAAACGAGTGGCAACTTGATTTTGAAATGTTTCTACGAAGGTGAGGTTGCTGCAAGGCTTTACTGGTATAAACAACCTCTTGGACAGAAACCAATGCTCATCTCTTACTCCTACATATATGAAAAAAATAACACATTTTTTGGCGAATTCAAGAATAATCGCCGCTTTTCACTGGATACTGAAAATGGCAAAAACCACTTGATGATCGGAGATTTACAAATTTCAGACTCAGCGACTTACTACTGTATGACCTCTTATTTATACAGATTAACATTTTCAGAAAGCATTACTGTTATTGTTAACGATGCAGAATCAAACGTCCAAGCTGTGGTCCAACAGTCAGCTTCTGAGATCATCCAGCAAGGAGACTCCGTGACTCTCAACTGTACAGTACACACTGGGACCTGTGATGAAGAACACAGTGTGTACTGGTTCCAAAACTCAGACGAATCCCATTCTCAGTCCCATCCTGGACTCATTTACACACATTGGGGTGGGAATGATCAGTGTGAGAAAGAAGCTAAGACACAAACACACACCTGTGTCTACAACTTGCCAATGAATAACCTGAATCTGTCTCATGCTGGGACCTACTACTGTGCTGTCGCCTCATGTGGACACATACTGTTTGGAAATGGAACAAAACTGGACTTTGAACGTGAGTAACATTAAGACTGAGTTTATTAAAACCACAGTAGATCCCACCCAGTTGTCTAAACTGTCTGACTTCATGCAGATAATGTTTTCTGGAGCGGCACCTTTGCAGTCACCTCCATCCTGAGTGTATTGCTGGCTTTCTCAGTGTGTGTGATCAGCAAGAAATGCATCTGCAAATCTCCTGGTAACTAATGTTTAGGGTTTTTTTTAACCTGCAAATTATTCCAGAATTATAAATATAAGAAACTTTTGTTGTTCTTGTAGAATCTCAAGCAAGTCTCCCCAAAGCAGATGCAACGGTGATGTATTAGCAGTAACTATTTAGTTACCATTTTTCTACGCAAAAGTCAATCTGTGGACATATTTTTATTAATAAGTATTTTGTTGCCAGGGTTTCCAAGAGGCAGAAAGACTCTATTTTCCATCTTCAACTGTCAACCTGCGCAACAGATCAAGAAGTCGGAAGGATCGCACCTGGAGTGAATGTGTGTACTATAGTGTAAAGCAGTAGTACGCAGAGAAGACACAGTGTTTAAAATGTAGTATTTCTTTTTTATGTTGGGTCATGTTCACAATATAATTTTTTTTGCTAGTTAATCACATTTGTAACGTCACTGTAGTTTGAAGCTAAAGATGGAATAATGAAGGAATCATGAGAGACAAATGTCAGTATTCACTTCTTTTTTAATCCTCATTCTCTGCCAACAGTCTTTTAATTATTTTTTTTTTTTTGTAAATTTAATGTTTTTGAAGCTCAATAAACATAATAAAGACTAAAAGACCTTCAAGCCTGAGACAATATCTGTGTGCCATTTCAATTCAGTGATAACATGTCTCATTATTGTGATTGTTATTATTGTGTATGAGAGAATTAAGCCAAGCTTGTCTCTTCAAGAGAATGGATCATGAAATGCAGTCATTCTGCTGCCAAGTTAAGTATAGAAACTAGACTTAATCTGTTATCCTAAATACAAAAGGTCCCAAGCAGGAGTGGATCTAGAGAAATTTTCTTAGAGTGGCAGGGAAATCAAATGGGATGGCAAAATGAAAGTCATTTCTTTACACATACAGATGTGTAGTTTTCTTTTTTATTTAGAAATAATTTACAAAAAATTGCACAAATCTGCACTGTCATGAAGAAATTTTTGACCGAAAATTTAAACCTAATTTTTCATGATTTATTGGGTTCCAGGGTATAATTGGCCATTTTTGACTACTTTTAATTTTACCTTCATTTTTCACCATTAAAAGCTATTTATATTCCCTTGTTTGGTATCAGTCTTTTCAGCACAAACTCACATGTCTGAATCCGCTGTTATTCTTTTCATTTTGACATACTGTATTAGCACAATTGATATAAATCTTAAATTTTAAAAACTTATGCTCAAATTTTAAGTTCTATACAACTATTGCCCCCAAAATGCAGCCAATACGTAGCACGGCACATGTTTCGTGTAGGATAGTTAATTTAAATGCCCGTCATAAAGTAATAACTAGCTCTGAGCTGTGTTTAATATTAATAAGTCCTAAAGTACAACTACATTGTATTTTCAGTTTTTCCTCCATTTTGCTTTAGATTGCAACTTAGCTTGCAAAAATAATTAAATAGATAGCACCTAACCTTTTCTCTAGATCTCATGGTGAATACTCTCACTAACACCAAGTCTCTTGTTCTCAACTTCACTGATTTTAATCGTAGTTAAGCCTGCACTGGGTTGGGTGTGTAAAGGAGGATTACGGTAAATATTTGTTGTCAATACAACTACTTTTTGCTGCCGCTGCTGCTGCAGGATATCCTCATCAAGATTTAGGAGGGTATGCCATGTGAAAGGTCACTACTGAATCTCTTGCAGAACAAATGATCAGGGGTAATATGCTGAAATGAGGAGAGGTTGTTTCAGCAAAAGAATATACCCAGTCGAATAATGTGAACTATTTACCAGTTATGTCGATTGCAAGTATTTGCAGATATCAAATTGGAATTTTGCATTAGGGAAACGGCATGCTTATTATTACTGGCAGGTAAAAAGCCAGATTCTTATGAAGTGGTATCAACCGGTCACAGCAGATGGCCCGCCCCTCCCTGAGTCTGGTTCTGCTGGAGGTTTCTTCCTGTTAAAAGGGAGTTTTTCCTTCCCACTGTCACCAAAGTGCTTGCTCATAGGGGGTCATATGATTGTTGGGTTTTTCTCTGTACCTATGAAGCGCCTTGAGGCGACTTTTGTTGTGATGTGGCGCTATATAAATAAATAATAACAAATAAATAAAATTGAATTGAATTGAATTGGTATGACTGCTTTGTTTGGGCAGAGAAGGATTTGTTTATGAGGCAAGAACTTGGGGAATAGGACGATTCATTAGGGGACAACATTTTTCAAGTAGGGCTAGTTGAGAGTGAGGACCATTAGCATGGATTTAGGGGGAAAAAGTCCATGTTGAGGTGGAATTGCATAAGAAAGAGTGAAGCACTTCCAGTAATGTAACTTATAGTCTAAAGTGCTTTGACTGTTAAAAAAGATTAAACTGTTTATGGCTAATAGAGGATGGGGAATGCCTGGATACTGATGTGTGAAGAAAAGCAACAAACCTGTAGCCTTAAAAGGTGACCCAAGTTCAGGCACATGGTCTGACAGCAGAGTCAGTTAAAATAGGACAAGGAGAGCTGACAAATTATTGTCAATTGAAGGATGACAACAAGTAAATCCCATCCCATTGGTCATGTTGTTTTGGCAAAACATCGTTGACAGACAGCTTTGACACAAATTTAAAATGTCTTTGCTGTAAACATTTGAGTCTATGACAAACAGGCACAGAAAGCTAAAAGTGGGTGCATCCTGTCAAACCTTTTACCTTTTAGCCTTTTACCATTTTTCTGTTTAGACTTGTCAGTGCAACGGCCTCTGTGGTTTCAGCAGGATGTGTTGTTACGCTAACACATACATCACGATCTAAGGTCCACTTGCTGTAAACACCCAAAAACTGTAGTTTTCCACAGGTCTTGTTTATTTCATGCTGCAAGAGCTCAGAAACTTTTTATCCGGAATGCAAAACCATTATTGAAAATGATGTATGATAATCATTATTCAAACAGCAGTAGAGTAAAGAGTAAAATAACATAAATTACAAATGTTACATTGCATTTCTGCAACTTAAGAGCAAAGATAATATAATCCTGAACATAAAATACCAAAATCCTGTGTGAATGTATTCATGTTGATATTCCTATTGACCTCTTTCTGGGCCCATGTGCTGCTGTTTTCTGGTTTGCCCTACTGTTATCCACAATGAGCTCACTGCTGGAATCCTAATTCTGTATACTCAAATTATTACTCATCACATCTTTTAAATGAAATGTGTTTCACAGCATGGGATATGCTAGAAATGACAATCAATCATTACAATGAAAAACACATCATTATTAAACTTGAAAATCAAATGCAACTGGATCAGAGCAGCTTCTGCTTTGATCCCATTTATATAGTATAACAAACCTAATGTAGACCAAACTCAACTTTCAATACTTTTAGATCTGTTTGTAATTCCAAAAAACGTATAATTCCTCTCAGATATCATACTGTATTTTCCACTACAGGCGGCAGTAAACGCGTGATCATGAGTTCCATACAATAGATACTGTGTCACCTTTGGCTGGCCAATCAAACACATTCTTGCCTCTCAAAAGTGGAGCAGCTATCAGTAACCTTCATTTTACACGAGAATCTCACCACAATGGTGTCTTCAGTGTTTTTCTTCTGTCTTCTGTGTCTGTTATTCGGAAAAATGGGTAAGTTCCATTACTAAGGATTCAGATTTTTGTTTTGTTAGGTTTTTACGTTTAACTGAAAGTGCATTTGTTTTTTTCTTCGATTCCACTACAGTTCAGATGACAGAGTCGCAAATGTTCTCATTTGAACATCAAGAGTCTCATTTCATATCAGCTCAAGTTGGTGGAAAAGTGACATTAAAATGTTTATATGATGCTCACGTTTCTGCAAGAGTGTTCTGGTTTAAGCAAAATCTGGGACAAAAACCAAAGATCGTCTCTCACTTTTTCAAATATAATGTGAACAACTCTTTTAGTGAAGAGCTCAAGAACAACCCACGCTTCACACTGGATAAACAAGACGGCAAATATCACTTGACGATCAAAGATTTGCAAGTTTCAGACTCAGCTACTTACTACTGTGTTCAGTATTCATACACTTTAACCTTTTTAGAAAACATCATCGTCAGTGTAAAAGGTTCAGGTGTGAACATCAAAGCTGTGGTCCAGCAGTCAGCATCTGAGACCATCCAGCCAGGAGGCTCCGTGACTCTGAACTGTACAGTACACACTGGGACCTGTGATGGAGAGCACAGTGTTTACTGGTTCAAAGACTCAGACGAATCCCATCCTGGACTCATTTACACACATTTGGGCAGAAACGATAGGTGTGATAACAAACCCAGCACACAAACGCACACCTGTGTCTACAGCTTGCCAATGAGCAACCTGAGTGTTTCTCATGCTGGGACCTACTACTGTGCTGTCGCCTCATGTGGACGTATACTATTTGGAAATGGGACCAAGCTGGAGCCTAAAGGTGAGTAACCTTTTCCACCTGTTGCTCACTTTATCAATATTTAAAGATATAGACAAGAAAAAGCTCTGTTTCTGGTGTGTTGTAGGCACGTTTAATTCTCAGGGCTTGGTGTATTTCTTGAGCGGAGCTTTGACGTTCAGCTTCATCCTCAGTGTTTTACTGGGATACTTGCTGTACAAGACAAACAAAAGAAACAGACACCAATCGACAGGTAAGTGGAGTCTTTTAGGCTTAGAACGGTTTTAGCTAAAGTTGGATTTTCAATTAAATCAGTTACTTTGTGTTTCACAAACAGAATCTCAAGCAAGATTTTCAGGCCCAGCAACAACAAGTTCGGAGGTGAATATATTTTTTAATGACTTGATAAAGCGCTCTTCAACAAACTTTTTACAGTCTTCTATCTTATGGCCATTGTTTAAATCTGAAATCCTGTTCTTATCTACTTTGTACACATTTTCAACAGGGTTTCCAGCATGCTGACAGCCTTCATTATGCTGCTTTAAGCATTAAAATCCCCAAGAGATCAAGAACACAGAGAAACAACACCGACGATGAATGTGTTTACTCGGCTATAAAAAAATAAAGATAGACATTTGCAAATCATGTAGTCATTTCTTTGAATCTCCTTGAAATGGCTGCAGTCTTATCTTGTTATATAGATGATTTTGTAGTTTCATACTGGTTAAATTGGAGCGATTCCCACTTAGGAACTGCATTTGTGCTTTTACCTGTATGGCATACTGTAAATGTATGCTCTTTCTGCTACTGTGGCTCAGGTGGTATAATGGTTTGTCGGCCAATTGAAAGATTAGTTGCCCAGGTATTCCTGTCCACATGCTGAAGCATCCTTCTCCATGACACTGAACCATGAGTTGCCTCCAATGTATCCATCAGAGTGTGACAGAGTTACAGAGTGTGAACACTAGAAGAATGCTTAGTCAAGATAAAAGTGTTCTCTGAATATGCTTCATTAAATGTATAAGACTTCTTGTCAGGGGGCTGGGTCTCTGACCCACCATTTTTGAGTTATTTTGTTGTTTTTTTTGGATTACTTATGAGATAATGTTAAGTTCTGAGGTTATTATTAGTTCATCTTAGTTGAAGTTTAGTCTAGTTTAGGTTATTGTCAATGTCTCCTTGTTTTTGAGTCTTTTTCCGTTTGCCATGTGTTACCTCCTTGTCTGTGTAGGTTTCCCTTGTGTCTCTCTCCTCTGTGTCCCTCTCCCTCTCCGTGTCTCCTGTGTCAAGCTTGCGCGTCCTAGTTCATGTCTCTCCTTGTTTCCTGTTTTATTTTGAAAGTCTTGTTTCCATGTTCATTGTGTTTAGTTTTGCTTCCCCTGTGGCGTCATGATTATTTGTGCCAGTGTTCAGTCCCAGTTTAGGTTTAGTTTCGCCCTTATTTCGCCTCGCCTTGTTGTTCTCTTTTCATGTATTAGCTGTGATAAAGGCTCGTTTTTTGTTGAAATATCAG